GCCGAGCTACCCCTCCAGAGGCCCCCAAGGCCCCACAAACATGGACCAGCAAATCTGCGCAGGGGCGAGCCCCACCATGACACCCAACCACATCCGCATCCGTTTGTCCCTGACTCCGATGCTGGTTAGCTTCACTCCCTGGCCTTTTGGTTGGTTGGCCAGACCCTGCCATGGCATGGCGTGGCATGGCGTGTGTGGCGTGGCATATTGATGAACCGCAACAAATTGGCTCCACGTCGGCAAGACGGTGGCCCAAGCAGCAGCAGCATCAGCAGGAGAAGTCTGATGTCGAGCGCCACACAGTGGAAGAAAAAGCTAGACACAGTCACATAAAGTGGTGTCAAAGGCAATCGCTAGTTGAGTCCCACTGTGCGCTGTCTCGGGAATGGCACAACTTTTTCTAGCCATTATACTCGAGAGAAAATTGTAAAAAACAAGCGAGAAAGAGAGAAAGATAAACGAAAATAAAAGTATCCAGAAAGCAGAGACAGACAGCCGGCCACTCGCACTCTAGGAGCCGCGTTGCCTGCCCAGTCGTTGTTGTATCCAGTTCCATTTGAACCCAATCTATCCCCACCGTCGACTACCTACCTCGCCTCCCTCGAGTTTTCACAGTTTGTGTGTGTGTAGTTGCAGCTTGGCAATCTGCCATCATTTGGCATAAATCCACCATGATAAGACTCCACGATTGCTCCCCAAAGTTCGTCGCGCGCACTAAGCCACGCAGCCGTTTCGAGCTGCTCACAGAGTGGGCTCGGGGATGGGGTTGGGTGACGAAAAGTTCATAGTTCATAGTTGGTGCCCGCAACTACTCAGAAATAATATAAATTTTTTAAAAACTTTGCTCATCCCTCAATGCCGACGGGACCTCTCACTGCTACTCCCGCTCTCGGTCATATAACCAGGACAAAAGTTGGATTGCTCCGAAATGCGGCCATTTATATTCCACCTCGGTTGGGATTATGCTTAGAGTCGTGGCGAATAATAAGCCACAGAAGACTGGGTTCAATGCACGACTGCCTGCCACTCATTGTGCGCCCTGCTCTACTCTAATCTTAATCTCCCCTCGCCTCAAGATTCGCAGACATTACGATGCAGCACCGCAAGTTAATTGCCGCTGCAACAAGGGTCATCAATCATCAATCATAGTTCATGGCGCTCTTGGCAGCGGTTGGGGTTGTCTTGGGAACAGCTCACTTTGCGTTGATTAAAGGAATATTCATATCAGAAAATCACAATATGTTTCCCAAATACATACAATCCCAACGTCATACGAGATATGGTAGTAGATAGATAGTAAACATATTTTTCATTCACGAAATTCCATGCCATTTTACGTTGTGGCCACTTTAAAATAAATAAACCAGAGTTTAAAAATAAAAATATAAAAAGATGGAACTTGTTTGTGCTTTGTTTTCTTTATTGGGTGCATTAAAAAATGTAAGTAAATGTATTCCACCACTCAGACACCCACAAATAGTACACCGAGTGTGCTGGGCTCTATGAGTCAGGCCGACACCAGACTTCCACACTTCCACACTCCCCCCACACAGTAACAACTGTATGCAGCACTGAAACACAAACAATTTGAGTTTCTTATACCCCGTTCTCGGAGAGTACAAAAGGTATACTGTTTTCGTGATCCATTTAATTCCATTTGTCATGGATAAGCGTCAAGCTGTGTCCGTTTCGTCGCTAACATATTTTAGACTAATAAATAATAATATTTACTACTTGATAACTTGCCAACAAAGTTGGGCATTCAGAGACTCTTAAGTGAATATCCCCAATGGCCACCCCCGATTACCCGGTATCTCTCAAATCTCTGTTTTGTTTCATGTTTATCTGCCGGTGCCCTACAGAGGCAGGTTCGAAAAAAATGCGTACGGACTGGTCTCCTCTCCTCTTCTCTCCTCAGCCTTCAATATCCAAAACATTTAATGCCAACAACAATTCTAGCAGTATAACTGAACAGATTTTTGCCTGGCCTGCCTCGATTCAGGCTCAAGTCAAACTCTCTGTCTCTGTGGTGTGAGGGACGGGGCGCTGCTTGCGCAGTCGAGTTCGAGTTGGTCGTGGCATAGTTGGCTGGTTGCCTGGAGCGGGGGGAATGGCTGCCAGTTTCAATGGCCGCCAACAGCCCAAGAGCCCGCTACCTGTGTATGTGTGTGTGTGGCGTGTGCGCGACAAGGACGCAATGTGTGCGCGTCTCCTGGGGGAGAGAGCGGGACAGGCTATCATCGTTCACTTGCAGTGGTTGTTCAGCTCATTGTTGCTGCCACGTGAAATTCCATCTGAGGCTGAGGCTGGACTGCGATTGCGGCACCCATTCGTAAATTCTCGCACATATGTACACATTCACGCAGAGGTGCGAAGCCATTACGGTTACCATAACGGTGCCTTTTCGATGGCAGTGGCAGTGGCAGGCCAGAAATATCGAAATATGCAGCGCCCACCCCTCCATTCAACTCGCACCCGTTTTGGGGCGCAGCTGTTTATGTCTGTCCACGACTCGCGGCGGCTGAACTGATTCTGTTTTTGATTTTTTTGTTTTTGTTTTTGTTGATATTGCTCCACTGTTGGCGCGGCTGTTGCCGTGCTTCTCCACACGTTTCATTAGCCGTGGCCGTCAGCATTCTGACGCAAATAAATCAAACGGGAATGGGAATGGGCCAGAATTCTCCCTCGAATACTAAGACAAATTTCTTGCAGTGCAGGGCTGTGGAATATTAGCCCATTTTTCATGTTTTCCCTCAGTCCCTGCCCCCCCGAAACTTGGTTCATAATCCACTTGAGAGCGAACTCTTTTGCTAATCCTCGCTGGCTGGTAAGTCAAAGTGGGGAAGGCTCGAAATGGGCAGCACCTTCTGGCACTTAATGAAATTGAGTTCTGGCCACCCTGCCCATCCCAAGCACTGTCTCTCCATAGCAGGCTGCGGGGCTCTTCTAATTGCGCATCCTTAATGTAATCAAGCAACTCGAAGCGGTAACGGCCACGATTGAGTGCAGCTTCCATGCAAATGTATCTAAGAAATTAGTTAAATTAATTCAACTTTGCACCAAGCAGCGCTGATTAAAATTTCAAATGAACTTCCCCACGTCTGCCCCAGCGTTTACCCTTCAGCGCCACCTGCCCGGCATTGGCATCCAGCCACTTACATGAACTCGCCTGGTACAGACGTAATTTCATTACTTATTTACAGCTGCTCAGACATGCCGAGCAGAGAGAGCCTCATGCCCATGGATAGATCCTAAAACCTTCAAAATAAATTTGTTTCAAAACAAATTTAGTTTGAATTCGAGGCAATGTAGATTAAATACTAGAACAAAGTTCCAAGTCATAAACAGGCATACAAGACAATTGCTAGAAACGTACACAACACTTATAGTTACCTTTAGTCGAATTAATTCACTTTACGATAGTTTTGCACAGTTCATTGTGCGATTAAACTGGAAATTCCACCTGCTTCGAAAGCAGTTCAACTATATTCGCGCAATACCTTTTCCTTAACTGATCAGAACTCAGCCCTGCTTAATGATCTGCGGACTATTTAATTGGGTTTCGGCTTCGATGAAGAGGGGGAAAACATTTAATTAAAAGGCACAAAAAGGCTGGCAAATTGAAGCCGCAAATAAAGCATCCAATTGAAGCGAGTGTGGAGAGCGCTTAATGAAACGAGAACACGCGCCGCACACGGGCAAAAGTCAGGCAAATAAACGAGGTATTTATGTGCCGTCTAAGACATCAGCCCCAAAACCAAGAGGGGGAAAGCCAAAGCCAAAGGCAAAGAAGCTAAAGGCAGCGCCAGACAGACAGAAGTCTTAGTGGAGGGAAGGTGGAGGCGGAGACGACTTATGTACATCATTCACTGACGGGATAATTCACTTCCGTGCACTTGCGTGTTTATTAAATTTCTGGGGTTGTCTCTGGGCATTGATTCCCGAGGCAGGGGCATTGTTTCTGATATTGTGTAACCACATGTAATTACGTGTATTCCTCATTAGTTTGGATTCGTGACTGGCTTTGTCCAGCTTCCTCGCAAGGTTTTCTCCACAATGTCAACGCACAGTGGGACGCGGAGTGTTGAATCGGATGCATATTTGCATGTACTTCTCTAGGATTACAAGAGCAAACTATCATCTGTTCCTGGAAATGTCCTATTTATTTATTAAAAACACCTTAAACATCGATCGAATCCGCCATCAAATGAGTTCACTGTTCAAAAAGTAAATTTTTAACCAAAATAATCCATCGCTATTCTGGAATTTGTCTTTTTAAATAGTTAATTTAATGCTCCATGGTGCAGTAGTAGATCTGGCGAAGGAGCAAAGGAGTCATGTGCTCTACATTATCGTGGCAGGGCGAGTCACGTTCGCCAGCCAACCCATTTACTTAGCTAAGCGACGGGGGTTGTACCTGCCTCGCAGCAACCCCGTTCCAGCGAAGGACCTCCCACCACCCTTAGATAGAGATTCGCACAACTTGTTACTCGGTCGTCCGAGCAGGCGATTTCTCTGCCCTTTCCCGTCCCGTTCTGTTCCGTCCCGACCCGTTCCGATTCGATTTGATGGAAATCTTTGAGCTACACGTTCTCGTTCTTATCGCTGGAATATGGAAATTTCGCCATTTATTTGATCAACTTTTGCCTTTTTTCCTTGGCTCGGGAAGCTGTGGTGCAAATAAATGGCAAAAGGTACAACATTGGGTCTCAACTACTTCATATGCCGCACACACACCCACACACACACATGTGTGCCCTGCGCGTCGTTTAGGAAAGTAATTTAGCAAAAATCATGTTTGCAAATAAAAAATCGAAACAGTTTCAGGGTTCTTCTGGCACAACAAAAGCCGCGACTCCTCCCTCTCCACAGTTGCACCTGCGGCTCGATTCAATTGGTTGCCATATGGAGTCTTATGGGCATCCCCATTATTATTACTTTTATTTGGCATGCAGCATTCATATCCAAATATATGAGATACAATTTGGATGGAGACTCACCTGGAACAGCTGCAGCCTGGCGACATCCTCTCCCCAGGGGCCGAAACGGAATCAAACTGAAATGAGATGGAAAACAAATAAATATTGTTTAATTAGGTACTTGGAAATATGAGTAAATATTTTATTTTGTTGTCCTTTTTTTTCAAGTTTAGTCTGTCAGAAGGGGATGTGGCTATGGGCTATGAGAGACCCATTTGCCGGGCTATGTAAGCATCCTCATATGCAAAACACTTTTCACAGCCGATTACATGGATTACAAAGCCCAAAGCACGCTGTCCTTGTGTTCATTGGTCGTTGCAGAGAGTATCATGTGAGCTGGCCGATTTATGCCGGATCACGCTCCTCATTATTATTTCACGCTTATCATTTTATTTCAATTCATTTCGGTCCAGCGCCCATCGCCCATCGCCCAGCTCCAAAACACCCAACCCATTACCTCGAAAAGTGCGCTTTCGTGTTTGCAGAAAGCAGAAATACAATAAATTCATAGTTGTTTCCAGGGGAGTGGGTCGGTGGCCCCGCTCACGCACCACGAGTTACTTGTGGGAGTATTCCCACAGAGGCCTCCACGTCCACACATGTCCATTGATATATGAAGGAACGGAAAGATGCTCGAGATGCATTCATATTCCATGGGGTCCAGTTGTGGGTCTCTTCCATGCGCCCCATTACCCGTCGCTCATTCGATTATCCCAACATCGATGCTTCATTCACATACAGTCCCCGCCAGTGTCCCAGTCCCAGCTCGAGCCCGTTTTTATGCTCATATGTAGAGGTCGTGTGTCCCTTTGCACCATCCCCTGCTCCTGCTACTGCTACTGCTACTGCTCCACCCGTTCGCCATTTTCCCGCCCACTGTAGTACCGTCGAGTGGTTGCTGCTTGTTTGTCTATTTGTTTTCCCTGCCACAGCCGAGCAGCATCCCATCGAGGGCCTCATCATTTCTTTTTTCTTGCCAGTCTCATGTGATGCTTTTTGCAAAACTTTTTAGTTTCCTTGTTTGATGGACAAACAGGCAGACAGAAAGAGCTCGCCCGACCTCGATTCGAATTCCCCAATGGAATATGCTTGTGTGCATAAATTCTACTCAAGTACAAAGATATATGTACTTCTCCTCTCCGGCTACCGTTCTCTGTCCGTCTGCCAAAACAAACTGCTTTCATTTTCATAATGAGCAGCCAGATCCATGGCACTGGGCCCGTGGCAGAGCGTCTGCCATCTCTTTGGAGTGCTTCGTGGTCCTCAGAGTAATTGGCAGCGCAACTTGTAAATGACAAACATGTCCGCACCAAAGTGGAGGCTAACTAGCGAGTCTGTCTGGCTGTCCGTATAGAAATCCCATAAAAGGTCTACTCCCGAGGAGGAACTTTTTCTCATTAATATTTTCCATTTTCCGACGACTGGAGCCGTGCGGGGCAAATGGAAAACTAAAACGATTCCCCATGTCTTCCCTCCACACTCTCCGTGTTGATTTGTTGTAAGTATTTACTCGTGTTCCGATTTATTTATGTATGCTCGATGGTATCATAACGAGGGTCACGACGCAGCAGTCGCTTACGAAGAAGCTCCAGCGCAAACTCCAAAGGAATAACTTTAAATGCCCCAACGAGACGGAGGTGTCACTTGAAATGCTCTGGATACATCGAAGAAACTTAATCGATAGAAACTTATTCCATGTCTTGCGTTTTGATGTTCGAACATGTTTCTGTGCACATCAATACTTGGTTTCCAGAGGTCCAAACATATTTATGCAAAATAAAAACTTCTGTGAGGAGAAACCCTTTCAGCAGCAATCTTGGTATGAGTGAAAACTATTTCAAATGCTGCTGCATTTTCCCGTTTCAAGGAAAATATGGTTTTTATTAGTTCTCAGTCTCAGTCCTAGATCGCACGATCTGCAGTTTCGCAGTGTTCGCGTCTTCACCCGCTGCGGAAATGGAACGACGGCGGTGATCTCCGACTGTGCCAGAAAGGGTTCGGCAGCGGGATTGTCTGTTGTCTGTCTGCTGTGACCTGCGTCTGCTACGCTCTGAATGCAATTACCAGAAAAAAACACAGAGAGTTTGGTCAAAAAAATGAAGCGTCTCAAATGTTCCGGGAAAAGTGAAAGCGACGCAGCCCCTGTTTATGGCAGCCATATAAATTGCAATTTTCTATATGTATTCATTTTTTCGAACGGGTTGCCACTGCCACATGCCGACAGGCAGCACAAATATTTGCCCTCGTAAAGCAATCTGCTTCAGCTGCTCTGCTATGACAATTGATTGCGCTGCTCTGCGAGACATGGGAGATGCACTTCGTACGCCCATCGGCTAATAGTTCCCCAGTTGACCATATTCGAGTACGATGTCCAATCGACCAGAGAGCTAGTGCGGAGATGGAGAGTCGTTAAAGTTATGGAAACCAAATGCAAAAAGCGAGACCGGAGCACTCTCGATGGCGGCGGCACATGGCCGCCATTCCCATGGATCAACGAACCCAAAAATAACACATGCAAATGCAGTGGACGTCGAACAGTTATTAGTTATGATTACTTAATTCCAATTGAAATGGAGCCTCCGTTTCGGGCCCTGCTCGGGGTTGCTGCGGCTGCTCGCGGAACGAGTTTTTTCCACACCAAACATGGAGAATGGAAGGAAGGAAGAAGGAGCAGTGGCTGGAGGGGGACTTGGCTTGCCGCTGGGCATAAATTGTAATTTACGGTAAGCGGCTTGGCTTTGGCGAATAAATTCCCTATCAATGGCAGGATAAAACGAGTTTTGGTTAATAATTTTAAATATTTTATTCGCCTTATTGCTGCAAAAAACGAGTGACTTTCTTTCCCGAAGCAAACAAAATTGTTGGGCACTTAAAACTTATAGAAATTAAATGATTCTGCTCACAATTCTAATGTCATCTTGTCATTACATAAATGGAATCTCCCTTGCGAAGCATATTCAACCGCTCAAATCGCTACTGGAAGTCGGAATCAGATCGTGCTCTTCCGCAAAGCTTCGTCGGATAATATCACCAAGAAGACCATAAAATGGAAGCCAGATCGGCGCAATTGAAGCTTCGAGATACAGTTGGAATACAGCATTTTGTGGCAGTTCAGGTGAGGTTTAAATTTAGCTTTTATCATGCATCGCGTGTGGCCGGTGCCCCGTCCCCTACTGCTGCTGCTGCACGTCCACATTCCAACCACCGCCAGCCAAGTACGCCTGCCGCCTGCCGCCCTGCTCCCTAGTCGGTCCGACATTGGCACTGCGCATGTGCCAGTTTTCGCATTGCGACGGCCCCGGGAAACGTCCCGCTTTTCCGCTGATGGAATTTCTCGTACATGACGCCACTTTAAAAGTTCTCAGTGGATGCCGAGCCATATGGCGAAAGATAGGCAACAGCCCATCGCACATGTGGCAGCTGTGTGGCTGTATGGGTGCGCTCCAGAGGTTGTGTAAGTGCGTGGCGGCTGCTATAGCTGCTGGCGAGGGAATGAATGCAACGCGGTGGCCATATCGAGGCGACCCAGTCGGCTCATCATCATCGGCTTATGGCAGCCATGATGCACAGGAAGGTGAGGGGCCGGGTTACTGCAGTGCAGCGCTTGGCATTCTCCCGTTGCTGCCTCACTAGGTTTTATGCTAGATAAGCAGGCGCTCAGACAAATTGAACCCTGAGCTCGGGCCATCCATCTTTATCTCCAGCTCCTTTCTGCATTCTGCCATCCTGGCAACTATATCAGACATAATTTCCCCATGGTTTAACTTTCGCTCTCCAACTAAGTCCCGTCTAGATTATTTTACATTTCAAAGCAAAACAGAATCAGTGGCTTTGCGTTGGCCCCAATGTGGAGATAGTGGAACCTGTTTTTAAATTAAATAATTCAATATAGTTCCTTATCGTCTGAGTGGTTCCAATTTGTGTGCTCTTTCAACTCATTCCACCTGGCACGCCTGCCACCAATTTGTCACACTATAACTAAGACATTTAACTGATGGCGGGAATCAGATCTGAATATACTTCCAGCTTCAGCGCAATCAGAAAATGAAGCCAGAGAGAGCGTATTTACTGTATTTATTACTCGTTTCAGTGCATACAAACTTCGACTCTTCGAGACAAATAAAACTGTGCAGCGCAGTGTACACATACTCCGGAGTGTCTGCGCATTTTTAAATGCTGAAAGTCATATTGGGATTGATTTGTTTGCTGGTCTCTCGCAAGCGAATGGGCAAAGCATCCTTTTCGAAGCGATTTACCTCTGCCAGATCAGCGTTAGCTGCTACATTAACTCGATGGTCAATAAAAGAAACCGATGAGCCCGAAAAAAAGCCAGGAGGAACACGTTTTTTCAAACTTGGATGTGACTTTCCATTCCAGCTTCTGCTTCTGCTCCTGCTGCTCTTTCTTTTGGCTCGTCGGCGCGTGCTTTGCTTACGGCACATTTGAAAAGTGCCCGAGGGAAATGGAGCCTTGGAGACCTACCCAGAGGGGCCGCACTAAATACGGAACACGAACTATGTGGGCGTTTCGGCCGGCTGAGTACGGGACAGGGAGAAGCAGCCAAAGAAATGTTTGCAGTTCTTCTCTGGGTTGCGTACCCAAGTGGATCCATCCGGAGGAACGTGATTTTCAATGGTATTCCTTTGTCGTCGCCGTCGTCGAACAAAAAATTATGATGCGAAACGAAAATGCGAAAGAGACGAGTGCCAGTACGAGGCGAGAATGAATGAGAAGGTGTGGCTACACTGCAAGAAAAATATGTTGATTTGCAAAATGAAAACAAATAAATGTTTAATTGAAGCGGGAAAATATTAGCTGACATTTTAATATAGGAACTAACTGATATTAAATTTATTATTACGTTCTTTTTGAGTTTTTTGCTAGTGTAGTGGAAGGAAAATGAAACGAAAATTGGCAAGAAAAACAATACAAGAAAATCACAATGGGCGACCGTGCTGATGATGATGATGATACGTAGCTGTAGTTGTGCCTTGTTGTTGTTGTTATTATAGTTGTTGTTGTTTCTGCTACTGTGGGCAATGCGGAGGAATGGAATGAAATGGAAAACTAGACGGAATCAAAGAATATAAAATGGGGAAAACAACAAAAATGAGCTGCAGGCAGAGTGCCAAAAACAGAAACGAGAACTAAAGTAGAAATGCTTTTAGACATTTTCCAGATACAGATATACAAGCACACGCACACGCACACGCACACGTACATATACACACACACACAGAGACAGCGGACTGCTCTGCTTCGATTTTGTTTTTGTTTTGCCTCTGCGCTTAAATATTTTATTTTGTCAAAAAAAAAAATAAGAGACTAGAGCTAAAAGACCGGAATGCAACGGAAAATAGCGAAAAATGGGGAAAATGGGGAACCCGCTGCAGAAGCTTTTAAGTAAATTAAATAATTTTCCGTTTCATTCTCTCTTTTTAGCTGCAAATGACAACGGAGCCCCGTTGCTGGCAATCCATCAAAAACATTTTGACATTCCCGAGGATGCCTTGTTTATTGCTTAACAGCCTGCTTAACTTTCCCCATGCCCACCAGATACCAGATACCAGCTCCAAGGAACTATGGCCACAGCGGAAATCCTAAATGGGAATCCACACCGTGTGGATATGGGTGCCATTATCGGCGTGGCATGTGCGCCGTGTGCACCGGATAATGTCAATCAGCGGACATTCTTCATTTTAGTTTTTGTTTACTTACCTCACCACCGAACGCTGCTCTGCTCTTCTCTGTTCTCCATGCTGGGCTCCCGTTGGGGTTGGAATTTCTGGCACATTTTATTTACCCAAAGAGCGGGCCCACACACTCCCGACGAAGACTGACTTTCAAATAAACATTGCACCCAGCAGCTTGGAGCTAGCTGCTCTCGTCGGTGCTGGTCTCTGAGCCAATCGATTGGCCAAGCCGCGTTCGACCAGGCTTGATCAATCAATGCCAATGCCTGCTGATGGCTGATAAGAGAAGCTGCGATTCGACCTGGAGAGGTGGCAATTGAAATTGCAATTGGATCTGGTGTGCGGCAAATGCATTTTGCATACGCTCCGGTTAATTGCGATAAGAAATGCAATCAGAGCAGTCCGTCCCTACATTTTGTAACCTTTCCCCCAATTCTAATCTTTTTACGACTATTCGAGCCGATTTATTTCATTGTCTGCTTTCTGTCTGGCATTTGTTTTGCTTAATTCTGTTGTTCGCTCAATTGAGATACTCGTACGTACGCATATCTATCTAAATGACGTTGGAGCCCACTCAATGTCTCCATTTTTGTGCCATGGATGGCACGGCCATTACAGAAACAATTGACATTGTGATTTACGGCAATAAAAATTATCCACCTGCCCAGCGAGAGTGGGGAGAACATACATACATATACGGAGCTGTGGACACACCTGAGCTACAGCTCCTGCTACTGCGCGGGGCAACGAGGTAGAGACCGCAGACGACGCTTTGTCATAAAAAATAAAATGAAACTGTCGTCACTTTTATTACTCCTACACAGGGCTAGGGGCAGGGACAGAGCCTGCTTCTGAATCTGGTTGTGCGTGCTGCGAGGGAAGTCGTATATTAGGCAGCTCCTTAAAAAGTCACTTGAACGGAAAACGCAATCCCAGCACCAATATACACCTCAGCCCATTCAGTAGCAGGAGCAAGGCCAAAAAAGAGAGAAACATACAGTTAAGCTTCTTGTATTTCGTCGACTTTTTTAATGAGCTGTCAGAATTATCATAAAGCAATTAAACGAATTTCACACTCATAACCGTGGGCGAGTATTCAATCTGCACGCACTGCCCCCGCCCGCCCCCAGGCACTGGGGAAGCCTCTGCCACTGACACTAATTGGTTGCTTTATGGCCCAGTTAAATCGTAAAACTCAAATTTTATGCCTTGTCACTGGAACGATTATGACGTCCGCTGCGAGAATGGCCCCGCCACCCTCCCATTCGCGAGCTGCCAATACGGGATTAAGGAATCTCAGCAAGTGGCTTCATCTTCACTCTCCTGTGTCTTGCCTCTTTAGCCATCATCTGATTTATGTCTCTTCTGCCGGGCATACTTTCCACCCGTTTACAGATTGATTTCAGGCAGAACTCTTTCCGCCGCTTCCATCTCCACATGCAAGAGTTTTGCATTATTCGTTTTAAATGCAAATAATAATCAGCCTTTTAAAATATACATTTTAATATGTACGGCCAGGCACATAGTATAAGAAAACATATAAGCAGCTATATTATAATTTAAAACAAAATAAAATAGATACGGAAATTAAACGCTCCATTAATATCAACGATTCATAATCCTTTAAAATGTAACAAACGTTCAAATCAGTGAATTAATTTGGTTAACACAAATAAATTTTGTAAGCCTGAAACTGGCTGTGAACGTCATGAATAAATTTGACCTTTGAGTAAACAAAGCGAAAACTAATGTTTGCGTTCGACTGCGCTTCGATAACAAACAAAACAAAGCGATAAATTTCAACATTTCCACACACACTTTCGCATGTGAGGCTACCATACACAAACGGATTCCTACTCGCAGTGAGAAGATATAGGATAGGGGGCATCTCAACTGATGTATGGGTGAAGTCGTGAGGCTGTAACAAGTTATTGTTCGGTTGTTGCTGGCTGTGGTGCTACCTTATTGTACTTCCTTATAAATGTGCGGTGTGGATTCCGATTACTTTCCGACTAATTTCTGAGCCCTTAGCGGATACGCGAACCAATCCAACTATCCAATTGGACCATAATACTCCGAACTCAAAGAGTATGTATGTATGTACATAATTACATACATTCATGCACACAAAGTACATTTTCCTGATCAGCATCGTCTTTACCTCCCTCCATCAGAGAGTTTCGCCTCTCTCTGAGAAGCTGGGGGCTGCTCGACATTGTTGTTGTGTAAACGGCGGCGCGATAGCACCAATCATTGTTATCAGCAGCGGCAGAAGTAGAAGCAAGTGCTACGCTACCCACATTGCATCTGCATCGGCAGCCGACTTTGTTGCCAAGTGAGCGAAAACTTATTATATCTTTCACTGATGCAATACTCCACTCCTTTCCGCTCTACTCCACTCCACTTCTTCCACCCCTCCGTGGTGGCCGAGGAGCAAAACTGCGAAGCCAAGAAGTTGGGAATGCAAACCAAAAAAGGGGTAAAGATGCTTTGGCTGAGGAAAATCGTAAAAAAGGAAATTGCATTTCCCCAAAGCCCGAAACTTGCGCAGGACTTTTGAGATTCCATTAAATTCTAACAAGATTTCAAGCTGCGCCATGGGATGTCGATGTTGGTGATGGGGTGGGGTGTGATGGCTCGAGGAAATGCATCGGCGTCCAATAAGCAAATGGCATCAGTCAGAGCGGGAGCAGCAAAGAGCAGAAAGCGAAGAGTGAATGGGATGGGGGACGCAGGGCAGAGAGAGAGAGAGAGAGCGAAGGCAAACAAAAACAATGAAGCGCCAAAACAACACTCTCACAACAAAGAGCACCAAAGCAGGTGCAGGAGAGCAGGCCTAAGAGAGTCGACGGTAAAGAGAGTCTCCAAAGAGCACACCTTAAGAGAGTCACCTAAGAGTAGCCACCAACACATGCAAACAGCTAAGAGAGTGCGCACGCACACACTGGCAAAAGTGAAAGAGAAGCGGAATTTGTTTGAATGTATTGGTGAGCAAGAGCGCCCAGCCAGAAACGTTTGTTTGGAATATTCTTATTCTTTAAATTTCAATGGGAATTCGTGGGAAAATTTTTTAAACGAAGTGCACATTGGATGTTGTCATTCGTACAATTTTATCCAAAAAGTATTGTTAATAAGTAAGAAAACAAATTGTACTTTGTATTGGATTCAATTTCTGTTGAACGTTTTCCGTCGTCCAACTAGACGTGTTAGCCGGGACAGGAACATAATGGTTTGTGAACTGGCTAATTGGAACAAAAGGGAAGCCATACTTTTCCACCCTCATTGACTCGTACTTACCCCTGAAAGTCCTTGTTGGGATTCGAGTCCAGGTCCGGGCCCAGTGCCCGTCCTATTCCCGGGCCCCGACGCAGGCGCAGTTGGCCGGCACAGCCGCCGCAACAGGAGCACTCGCCCGCACAACGATTGTCTTTCTCCTTTTTCCCTGTCACGTTTCGGATTTCTATTCCGATCTCGGCCCGGCCCGGGCTTGGCTCTTGGCTCCGACATTTTTTCAGTCACGTCACAGAACTTCACAACAGCCGCCGCCGCAGGTGAGTGCTAGCGGCAGCGTTTCGGACAGCATGGCTGCTATGGCTGTGGCTCCAGCGAGAACGAGACCGTTGTTTTCTCTCTCATCCATGATGGCTGCCACTGCTGTCGATAGGCAGCCATGCCAGCGACAGCGACTGCGACGTCAGCGTCGGCGTATCGGAATCACCACATTCCAAAGGCATTCATTCCGAATTTTTTGCTCTCTTCTGCGACTGCTCTCTCTTTCGCTCTCTCTCTCGCATCCGCGCTTCTTCTTCTTTGTTATCTTCTTCTTATGCCGTGCCATGATGGCGCATTTTTGCTACCCGCTTCGCATGGACTGGCATTTGCTTAGCCCCGACGGCATTTTGTCTGGGTGTGAGCTGAAATACAATGGAAATAATTAGTTTTGTTAAACATTATAGGAACAATAATATGAATACGGTTATGGAGAATCTACATACAAGCTTTTATTCTACATTGATATCGAAAAGATTATTAAAGCAAATTATTAACTTCCAGGGGTTAGGTTGGAGAATTTACACATTTGTTCCCAAAAAGTGTTTATTTTCTAGCATAAATATAATAAAAATAAACCAAATACTTTTTTGCACTTCCAAATGCTGGAATATCTGAAAAATATTCTCTTTTTGGTTTACTTTTCGATTATAAATTAGAATGTCAATTAGTGTTTCTATACAGAGAATGGGATGTTCTTCAACTCTTCCAATTTCAATTGCTTTTTAAAAGGAAATCAAGAAATCAACTTGGAAAGAGAATCAACATTTAAGTGGGCTCCATTCTTAAATTTGAAATTCTGAAATACATTAGCGAAACTATTCCCTTTTTATGGCAATAAACTAAACCGAAAGGCCCTTGGTGGAATGAAAAGTTTCCAATTTGATTTCCATTGCCATCGCAGAGCACGGGCTGGCACTCTGAGGAGCTCTCGAACAAAAGAATCGACGCCTCGTTGACATTTGCCAATAAAAATAAATAAAATGCCATTTGCTCAGGAATCCAACAGCGGTCCCCATTCCCACTCCCATTCGCTCCTCAGGCATGTCCCTGCACACGGGTGGCGGCCACGAAAAGTGACTAAAAATAAATGCCGTCTTTTAGTCGGGGCATTCAAGGTTTGGCCGCCTCCAGGGAGCACTCTAAGGGGGCGTGAGGCGTGTGTGTGTGTGTGCGTTGCGCATTTTAATACAATTTAATGCCCCATCGTGTGCCACCTCGACCTCCAGCCAGAGCTACAGCTAAAGCTCCACTCGATCTCCCAGCTGCCATCAACAATTGAACGCGATAGCATCATGGCTGGACCTGAGAGGATTTCTAGGCCTGCCATCCGAGAGCCAGAGCAAAAAACCGAATTTCCGGAACACTAGCGGAGCCGTACTTTTATTGGAAATCGTTTATCCCGGCAACAAACGTGCCGCTGGTCGGGAAACTGTCGCTGGTGCGCCCTGCACAGTGGTAAAAATCGGCAACCAACGACCCAAATGCATCTTTTTGAATTTCATAATATGATAATCGCAATAAGAACATACATAGTTCATGCTGCTGAACAGATTAAAGTTGCTGATAAACTTAACAGCGACTAAAACGTTGAAATCTTGTGTCAAAACTTTTGTACAATCCAGCGACGATGATGTCTTAAGCTAATTGGATTTCCCTTTTCCCTCGCAACCCACTGTATAGGGGTCCCTCTGCAGAGCGTCTTTGTTTTCGGCATCGCCATTTAAGTCACAAACGACGAAATTAGTTTTCCGTTTCGTTGGCATTTCTATCGCTGGGCATTGTTTTGGGCCCGTGCCCGTGCCCATCCTCACTCGCATCGATATGCGGAGACCGTACCCATGGCATCCCATTACACCTCCTCCATCCCAATCTCTGGCCCAGCCAGTCATCATTATGCGCTTCAGAGCTTTCGGGATTTTCTACTTCATTGCTATTATCGGCCCCTGCGAATGGAAGAAATGTGGGACGTAGTCATGGATGGGGTTATGCTGGCTGGTCTCCGCCTCATCTGAAATCGCACTAATTTGGTTCGGGAACAGCGCCAGGCCAGCCCTTCCCCTGGTGTGAGGCGTGTATAGTTGTCGTTCCAGTTTTTATGATGATGAGTTCAGAGTTCGGGCATGTTCTGCATTCATCGCACTGAGACCTTATTGCGTCGAAGGCGGCAACGGGAACGGGAACGGGAACACTTACTAACCTGGACAAGGACATAGCAAAGAAAAGAGTTCAAGTTTCATTGTCGATCCTCAGCGAGTTCCCAGGGATTTCATAATGGCTTGTCATAACTGCGATAAGCCGTAAAAAAAAGAGTGCAGGGAAAGCAATGTCCCTGGGACAGTTTTCAGACGAAAACGAGAGCACTTTGAGTCGCAGTTCGATCAAATTTATTGCTACCCGGTGACCTTCGACTCCGACAGGATTCAAATTTAATATTTCATGCTCACACATTCCAAAACCCATCCATAACTGGAGCGATGTCAACGTCGACGTTGACCTCTCTGATGCAAAGGATTCTCCTGCTGGCCCGACTCTGGCTCTGGCTCTGGCTCTGGTTCTGGTTCTGGGCCAATAAAAGCGTTAATGACCATAACAAACGGCCTTTGTGCCGCTGCGGCGGTGCCTCCTCCCGCGCGACTCGAGGTCATTCCCGCTGTGTATTTGGTGCGCGGCACTGCACTGCACTGTCCCGTTCCCGTTCCCATTCCCGTTTCGTTATCCGTTCCCTCTGTTCGATGGCTGTTCGAACTAACGCATTATCGATGTGTTTGGTTTTTTTTGTAAGACATGCCTGTGCATATCTTGTGTCGTGTCTGTTTCTGTCGTCATAACGGGGCTGAGTTATGCGAGGCTGCGGCACCGCCATTACCCGATAAACCCGTTCTCCGCCTGCGACTCGAACTCATTTAATCCATGAAACGAGAATGCTTTAAGCCAGCCTCCTCATGCCTCTGACTCTGCTTCAGCCCCAGCCCAGGGCATGGAGTGTAGCTGGTTAGAAATTCTATTTTATGCTTGGGTTCCCATCGCCATCGTCTGCCAGCGATTCAGCCAGCCAAATGATGGCATCTTGCCATGCAATTCGAGCTAAGGGCGTGGATGGGGATGGGTATGGGGATGGGGATGTGGATGTGCCTGTGGAGCCCTCTGGATCCTTCTTACTTGCTTAAATCGCGTTGGGCTTCTAAGTTTTTTCCCGACGATTTTATGCATGCGACACACTGCGCAAAATGCAACGAAATTTGTAATTAAACAATTGAATTTGGCAGTTATTTAGATTTGTGTTCTTTGTTCTAGAAAGCAAACTACAACAAATATTTTTATTTATTCTCTTCGACACATTTTTTAAACGTATAAAACGAGTTGCGATTCTTTTCTCTCTAGGAAATAAATTTCAAACTCAATTTCTCAATCTAAACAAAAAAAACATCAGTTGTCAGAGATTTATCTCAGTGTATTTGTAATTTCGAGCCAAAGAGCAAAATGTGAAAAACTGGAAAAAGGCAAAAATGTAAAAGGAGAAAAGAAAGACGAAAAATAAAAGCTGCTTCTCGTCGAGTCGACGTCGACATAAAACTTGCAAAATAAGTTTCGCATGTTTCAGCAAACTCAGGTGAGGAAGGGACGTGGATTGCGGAGCGGGGGCGGTGGTAAGGTAAGGCGGTGAGGGAAAGGCTCTCCGTTCCTTGAATATGCAGCAAATATTCTTCAAACGGCTCTGGCGTTGGCTCCATTTTATATGCGCAGAGTGCGCAGAGGTGGGGTCCGCCTACCTTAACAACTCACCCTCTGCCCCCTCTTCCTCCTACATCCTTCACCACCATCTAGCCAAATGAAAAGATGGTCGCCAGAGTCTTGGCCCGTAAGCCGCCATCCCCGGCTGATGGAACCGGGAATGGGAATGGGGACAGGGGAGCTGCACGAAATGTACTCCAATTTAATCAAGAATTCTATTCTGTAAATGACTTGCACAAAAACACGCGGCAATGGATGGGCGGGGCAGGGACAAGGCAGTGTGGATGGGGGCTACAACTCGTCTCTCTCTTCAAATCCAACATCGCGAATTTCCATTTCGTGTTACACAAGTGTAAGGTGGACCGAAGTGCCTGTAGTTGGAGCCGTAAAGCGAGGGAACATTTCAAAACGAACCTGAATCTGCATACCTGATGATGATCTGGAGAGATTTTCTAATCAAACTATGATCGGTGTAAGTCTCTAAGTCTGTATATCGGTTTAACTTGCTAATTGAATATGAAATATTTAGATACTTTTCAAGGAATTAGCATCAGAATTGCCTGGCATTTAACTTAGGTGAAACCCCCAGTCACAACGCAAACTTAAATCTTTGATTCACGCTTTACAAGGGACTGAGCTCTTTAAAATCAATTTCTCGACTCATTTTGCTTTCTCATGCGCCCCAGCTTCATGTGGAAATGCCTTGTCGAGTCGGATGAAAAAACACTTTCCCCAAAAACAGAACCCATCAGCATAAGAGCGTTCCATCGAAATGTAAAAATATGTGGGACTGACTGGCCTGGCCTGGCCCCAAATTCTCGAAACGCATAAATTGATATTCGAATACTTTCCCCTCCGCTCCGCAATGAACAGCCAATACCAGAAATATCTGAGATGTGCGATGAAGTCACAAAGAAAACGAAGTCGAGCGTGCCCGGGAAAGATGGATGGGGATGGGGATGGAGATGGGGATGGAGACGAATGGCTGGCGTTGTTATTGAAATAAATTATTATAAATAAATACGCAAGTCGAATTTATGAAGTCGTAGTTGTCGGTTATGACACCGTGCTGTTTTCTCCCCACTCTGTTTTTGTGGGACTGGACTCTGTTGGTGGACTGTGGCCGGGCTCTGGCTTTGGCTATGGCTCTGGTCCGGGTCGCTGTCATTACTTTTGTTTATGCCCAGACATGACGGGAGTTCGCCAGTGGAGACGGACGGTACGGAGTATGGAGCGCCGTTAAAACAAACAGCTTATTACGCCAATGACAGTCGGAGGGTGAGGCTTTGGCCGGGGATGTCCAGTCCAGCGAGAACGTGGCCGGGGCGCCAATGACTGCCATTGATAACTGAAGAAGTTGAGCGGTCTGCAGGGCCTGTCCATGCCTATGGCTATGGCTATGCCTCTGGCTGACTGATGGGTGCCTTGGCTTTTGAATTTGTTTGTCTTTCGTTTGTCAACATCATGTCGATGTCGAACTCCGTCCATCCATTCATCCATCCATCCGTCCGTGAGTCTGGTTGTCCGCTCGTTTGGTTTTCTTGTTTATTTGTTTGTCTTGGCTCGACTTGGTTGTGCTGCCTCTGGTCTCTGTATCTCCGCCGATTGGATTCGTTTCAATTTATTTACT